TCTTGCTTTCTTAATCAACTCTTAGGTAAAAATAGAAATTCAGACTATTTGGTAACAGGATGAAAACACTCATTTGTACTGTGCTGATGTGGTATTTGATATATATATAAATTTCAACACTTACTTAAACATTAGAAAAAGAACCACAAAACAAATGAAGGCAAGCAGAAGACAGAAATTAGCGTAAATGCAGAAATTGTTAGCAAAACTATAAAATTGAAAATCAATTCAAAATACCTTATCTAATTTTTTTTTACCAGAAGTTAGCTAACCCAGTAAAAAAGCACAAATTTACAACATAAGAATTAACATAATAATCAACAATTGCAGAAATGGAGGAAAATAAAAAGGATATGTTCCTATTAATATGGCAAAGAAAATATAAAAATTTGGGTAAAATGGAAATTATTCTAGGAAAATATAATTTACCAACTGTAGATAGATAAATCGAAATCAAAGAGCTAAACTGCAAAAAAGTACCAGGCTGAGATGTTCTCAAAAGAAAAATTCTAACACAAAGAGGGCACGTATTGAATGGAGCACTGGGTGTTATATGCAAACAATGAATCATGGAACACTACAACAAAAACTAATGATGTAATGTATGGTGATTAACATAACATAATGAAATAAAAAAAAGAATTTATAGTGAACTCCCCAAAAATAAATTACATTAACATTACATTAAAAAAAAAACATGACCTCACTGATATGAGGAATTCTTAATCTCAGGAAACAAACTGAGTGTTGCTGGAGTGGTGGGGGGTGGGAGGGATTGGGTGGCTGGGTGATAGACATCGGGCAGGGTATGTGCTATGGTGAGCACTGTGAATTGTACAAGACTGAGGAATCACGGATCTGTACTTCTGAAACAAATAATGCAATATATGTTAAGAAAAAAAAGAAGAAGAAGAGAGCAGGAGGGGAAGAATGAAGGGGAGTAAGTCGGAGGGGGAGACGAACCATTAGAGACGATGGACTCTGAAAAACAAACTGAGGGTTCTAGAGGGGAGGGGGGTCGGGGGATGGGTTAGCCTGGTGATGGGTATTAAAGAGGGCACATTCTGTGTGGAGCACTGGGTGTTATGCACAAACAATGAATCATGGAACACTGCATCAAAAACTAATGATGTAATGTATGGTGGTTAACAATAAAAAAATTATTAAAAAAAAAAAAAGAATAATTCTAACACACTCTTAAAGAGCAGACAATTCCAGTGCTATTTTAAACTATACCAAACCATAGAAAATTAAGAAAATCATCCAAATTCTCTTTTTATGTAGCAATAAAATACTAATTAACATTAAAGTCTGACAAAGATTTAACCAAAAAATAAGACTTAGAGACCAATTGAACTTACTAACATCAATGAAAAATCCTCAAATAAAAATTAGTAAACAGAACTTAAAAGTACAGTACAAGAATTATTTATCATCGCCAGAGTGTATTTATTCTAGGACTGCAAGGCCTTCCTTATATTCAGTATTATAAAAATCTATACAATACATCATATTAATTGATCTAAGGAGAAAAAAAAGTACATGGTCATCTGCATGGATGCTGAAATCTAACATTATTTAAGTGATTAAAATCAAGTTATCTAACAAGGTAAGTGTGGTTTTCTTAACACGGTAAATACATTTGTATGTCAGCTCCAAATCTGGCCTGTTGCTTAATGAGAAACAGTGGTATTCTCACTCAAGTCTGGAACAGATGGAGATGCTCATAACCACTGCTCTACCTCGTGCTCAGTTTTACATTGAATTAGCAAATAGATAAGAGAAAGAAAATAAAGGCATAAAAATTAGAAATGAGGAGGTGAAGCTATTGCTATGTGAATTTACTGAGTCCCTACTAAATTTTAGGTGAAAAAAGATACTAAAAAATTCCTTTTTGTTTATAGAGCTTACATTCTAGTTACATGTTATTATATGACTACGTGGAAAAGTAAAGGAATCAAGTGAAAAGTTACCACAAACACCACCAGAAAAGATAATATCCCTAAAAATAAATGTAATAAGATGTGCAAGGTATGTGAGGAAATTTTTCAAACACTGTCAAAGGATACAAAAGACAAATTGGGTAAAGATGTCAGTTCATCCTATGTTAATTTCTTGAACATTTGGAGTAGGGAATGCTTTTATTATGACCCCAAATTCAGAAGTTATAACAGAAAAAAACTGGTAAGTTCAAATAAGCTTTTCAAAAACTTCAAATAAAAAACAAGCAGAAAACCCCATGATGAATTCTAAAACACAAAGACCTTGTTACAAAGTATGCAACCTCTGGTATAGACACAGGTTTAATCGCCCTAATTAATAAATGAAGAAACTCTACAAATCAGTAAAATACCTACAGATCAAGAAAAAAGGTGTGCAATATGTGAAAAGATTGTTCATCAAAAGGGAGTATACATGGTTTTTCCTGTTTCATAAAAAGAGGAAATCAAGTTAAAAACATACTGAGACACGACTTTATATCAGATTGGAAGAAAGTTGAACAATCTGATAATGTGCTCTATTGGTGAGGCATTGGGAAATGGGCATTCTTGCTTGTGAAAGTATAAATTGGTTAAAATCATTAGGGTAACTTTTCAATATCTAAATAAGTTGCAGATGCATAGGTCTTTGATCTCCAACATTTGCTTCCAGGAATTTATCTCCATGTATGCCTGTATAAAATGACCTATGACAAGATGATTTATTATAGCATTGTTTATAGTGGTGGAAGTCTAGAAGCTACTTAAATGTCCATTAACAGGAGAGTGGATAAGTAAATTACAGCATATACTGACAGTTCTACAAAAGAAGGAGGACATTCTTTATGTCTTAATATGGAAATATTCCAAGATATATTGTTAAGTAAAAAACTCAAAGTTCAGAATGATACATGTAGTATGCAACCATTTGTGTGACAAAGGGATATTTAAGAATACATATTCAGATTTACTTATATTTACATAAAATAACTCTGGGAAAGAAACTGATTTAATAACTGGTTAGCTGGTGGGAAGGGGGAGAATAGTAGGAATAAAATAGGAAGGTGAAACTTTGCCTGGTTTTTAACTTGTGAACCATGTGAATGTTTGACCTATTCAATAAGCTGAGAAAACAAATTGAAATTAAAAATTGATTCCTCCAGGAAAATGGTATAGCCATGGTATGTGGTACGATGTGAATTTTCTGTCTTCCCTATTTTTTCATTAAGATAGACGTAAAAGGAGAGTGTAGATGGTGTCATGACTACTAAAAGCAAAAACATGTCAAAGTACACACCTCACTGAAAGTTGGCAAAGGACTTTCACAAACAGAAGCTCAGCACATTTTATAACCTCAGTCATAATACTGCGGCCACTTGCTGTGTTCCCTGTGTCTCTGGCATCTTGAATTGCTTGAGATGCTTTGAACAGGTGTCAGAGGTATATCCCACCATTGTAACTTGAGGCTGCTCAGCCTCCCCCCAACCCCATTTTTGGTTATTTCCTCTAATCACTAGCATCTCATTTATAGTAAAGGAAAGATAGAATAAAGGAATAGACCTCACTCGGCTGAGTTTTGTTGTGCTGCAGAACACGCTCACATAATTGTGGACAGAATGGTCTCTGAGATATTCAAGAGAGGGTAAACATAAGAAAGGGGAGAAACGAACATTTACTGAGACTTAGGCATATTGTTTACATTTGGTCGTCATCACAGTCCTATTTAGGTGGGTAAATAACCCTGACAGGTGAGGGAACCAAGGCTGAGGGGTCTTTAGAATGAGAAATTGAACCTGGCTGTCACTTCCTAATGTTACAGACATGAGTGAGAGAAATAGTGTCATCATATGGCGAGCCATAAGCAGGGTCTCTTCCCCGTTCACCAAGTTTGTGTCTTCAAGTAATGCATCGTTGTTGTAAAGGTTTAACGGGGATCTGGTCCAAAGGAATGACCAGGAAGAGGTATAGAAGAGAAATGTGTGAGTAGCAGAGCAGAGAGAGAGAAGAGGAAGAAAGAGAATCCATGTTTTGCAGTAGAATTGGTGCCTTAGGCTAAAGTGAGGTCTGTTGAGATTACTCTGTGCTTTTGTCTGCCCTACATTACCCTGATGTGTGATACTTGGGTATAGCATTTTTTTTCCTGAGAAAGTGAAACCTTTGAATGATGCCTCTTCGCAAATTCACCCTAACCCAACTCCTTTCCTTGAAGGCTGATGGGGCTGACTCAGCCCGTTGGCTGTTTCATTGCATTTCTGTGGCTGATAAGTGCAAGCAGTAGAGCAAGATTCGTATTTTTCAGTGTTGTTTCCTAATGAGTAACTTTTTTTTTTTATCCTAAGTGGTTATTTATGTCCATGCTACTAATGGAAGGACTAGGTCCTCAGTGGTAAATACAGAAATTTCAGTAGCAGGTAGTAAATATAGGGGGAAACAAAAATCTCAATTTAGACAAGGGCAGATGGTTTTATAGTGAAGACGAAAATGATTTTGCTGGCACCTTGTTTCATAGCATCCTGATGAAAAGAGATTGGAAGGCCTCTCCAAGCAGCTGGACTGGGATGTTCGCAGCATTCAGCGCTGGTTTCGACAAAGATGCAACCAGGAGAAGCCAAGCACACTGAGGAAGTTCTGTGAGAGCATGTAAGTTGCTATTTTTCTTTTTGAAAGAAAAACCTGCCTAAGTACTCATCCCATCCCTGAGGTTAAAAATAAAGGCTTCATGCAGGCTCCAGCAGCCCCTAAAAAGCATGCCACCTGGTGGAAAAATAGGCCACAAAAAAAGCTGGGGGAATAGTAGTTTGTAAGAATTTGTGATTTCCACTTTGGATTCAGTAAATGAAGTTCACCTTCTAGTGGAGTTCCTACAAAGTAGGCAGATTACAGGGGCCTGCGCACTAGAAGTCATTACTGTAATAGTTTGAATTTTAACAGAGGGGACTTTGTCAAGATGTTCTTTCCGCTGGTAAAAGCTGAGATGTTAGATGTATTATCAGAGAGACGTGATTCCTGGGGATTTAAGAAATAACTGTATTATATTCCTTGGGTGAATTTAATGAAGCATTGCTTAAAGGTGGGGGATGGAATGAAGGTCTCTTCCACTTCTGAAATGTGAACTTCATGGTGTATAAATTATATATCAATAAAGCGGTTAAGAATAATAAAAGACCCACAGAGAACTAGCACAGTGCTATTTTGAACTAGCAACACTCCATACACTTACCTGTAGGAAAGTTAGAGAAAGAAATACTGAAGCATTTCCAACAAAGGGAAGATACCGTGCCTTGAGCTCATTGGTCCATCTGGTCTTCATCCTTTGGCATATCACTGTGCCTTTGTCTAACGCTCCGTCCTTTGGGAGCTTTTTCCTGACACCTGGTCATTGGAACAACAGTGCTGGCAGTGTTGCTCCCTTTGTTGAAGGCTCTTTCTGTTTGGGGTTGAAGTTGCATTTTCAGGTTTAGCTTTCAATTATGCTGGAAAAGTATTTCAGCAATTGCAATCTAAAACTTAGAGGGAAACCTAGAGTTCTGGGAGAAATGAGTTAGAGGCAGAATAATATCATAAATTCCTAGGGCTGGATAAATATGGGGAGCATAAACAGGATCTTCAGGAGGTCAGATATTTATAAAACCTGGAAAAACAACCCGGTAGATATAATCTGCAAAGCCCTTCCTATAATTGAACTTAGTGGCAGTTTATGGAAGAAGGATTTATGTATCTGGGCTCAAGATCAAAAGGTGAAATTGCTTCCTGGCCTTGCCCCACCATATATGCAAAGGGCCTGGGCTCTACTGGGCTCTGGGTCTGAGCCGGGGTGAAGCTGGGTCTTGGCACAGGGAACCCCATGCTGAAACTCATGTGCCATCTTCCCTTCCTCCAACTAACTTCTTTGGTAAGTCAGTGCTAGTCCTTTCTATACTACACTGAATCTACACCAGTTTCCATACCAGTATGTATAGAAATCCGCCACCGGATCTTGTTAAAATGCAGATTCTCCTTCATTCAGTGAGTCTGCGATGGCAACTAAGGTTGCATTTTTCACAAGTTCCCAGGTGATGCCGCTGGTCCATAGCAAGGCTCAACACTAAACCAATATCTATGTCTTCTCCCTGAGCTCAGCTGGGCTTTATCTGCCTAGGTTAAAAATCAGTTAAAAATATTTCTAAATGATGGCTAAAGGCATGGCAATGTGAAGGCACAACTTGGGGAGAGGTGGTACCTAAAGTATCGATTATAATCTTTCTCTTCAACAAGTTTATTATAATAGTGTCAAGGAGATATGACAAATACCTGAGTGTATGTACCTCAGTGGCATTATACAGTAAACAGGTGTGCGTGCTGAACAATTGGTATGGACAGTCAATAACTAAAGATGAGAGGAGAAAGGTCAGCTGTGGGCTAGGACACATGGCAAGACTGCTGAGATGAGCACTGGGACAGTCCTGGTGGCCTTGGACTTATCTATTGCTGAGGAGTGTGCTGATGAACTTTGTTTTGAAACTCTCTTCTTCCTTAACCTCTGGATTGCTACTGGATTCTCCTGCCTTTCCAAGGGCTTCTGTTTGCATCAGTTACTCTGCATTTTTCCATTTTCTTTGACTGGGCCTCTCCAGATTCAGTCTTCAACCTCTTATTTTCCCCACTCTACCTTCCATCCTCTGGGCAGAAGTTATTTCCTCTTGCCAGGCTCTTCCAAAGTGTCCAACGAAGAGGTTTCTTCTGAGGCATCATTCTGCTTTCTCCCAACTGGTAACTCTGACTTGCTTCCGCCTTCTGACTTCTCTTCTCCTGTTGTTCGCATGTCTCCATTCTCTTACAGGCTAGAGGCTCAAACCAGTCATTCACCGCGTTCCATTATTTGTAAAGCCACTGGCATGGCCCTGATCTTAATTGCTCTCATAGCTCTCATTATTTATCTTGCATTCATAGATATTTTGCTACAAAAAAAAAAATCCCAAAATGCTGTTATCTTCATGTTCTGTTACTTTTAAACCTTGATGATTTTTCTGCAACTATAGGAGAAGTTATTAGGCTCCTTAGCCTGTTAGCTAGACTCTGGACTTTATGTGTTTTGGTATCAGTCACCCAAAAGATCCCTTCCTTCCAGAAGGTTGTCTTTTCACTGGCTGCACTTTGTTCATTCCTGCCCTGGTTTATGCTGTGTTCCTGGCATGGACACCTATATCCTCTGCACTGCTCGTCTATCCCCTACCCATTCTTTAAACCCCAGGCCGTCTCAGAAATGTGGCATGACTGTTGAGTGTCTGGAATGAACACTACTTCTTTTGAATTTTTAGAGTCCTCATTGTAAATACTGGTAATTTCATACTGAATCATGTGCTTTCTTATGTGGTTATTTAACTTTTCTTAACTTGTCCGTATATTTTTACCCTAATTACATAATACTTGCTCCTTGTGGGCACAAGAACCACATCTTGTTTTTCTTGTGTTCTTAGCCTTTCCCACCACATATATACTGCTGAATAAATATTGGTTAAATGACTGTAAGTTACAGTGGCATTATTTTGGAAGGATTTGCTGATCTAAGTTGGCACTTTGCCTCCCCAAATGAAGAGTGCCTATTATACACTGACTTAGCCTAAAATTTCTCTAGGAAAATTATCAAACTATGGAAAGCTCCAAGACTATTTCAAAGAAAGAAATTCAGAGGAAGGAATGATATGGCAAAGGGGAACACTTAGATAATGCTATGAGGAAATGCATCAAAAACTAATGATGTAATGTATGGTGGTTAACATAACAATAAAAAAAATTATTAAAAAAAAAAGAAATAAGATAATGCTATGAGGACTAAGGTAGAATTATATTGGTCATCGTAGGCATATTTGTGTGTCATCATTATTTGCTCATCAATATAAAAAATGATCTGGAATCGTTGTTCTCAACCAGGGATACACTGCATAATCACCTGGTGAGCTTTTGAAAATACACATACCCAGGCCCCACCCTGGGATGTCTGAGTCAGCGTGGTGACGCAGGTGAGGTCTAGACATAGACATCTTGAAAGAAATGCCCTTAGTACTTATGACACACATTGATGGTTAAGAGGCACTGATCTCTGAAAAGAGAGGACTCCTGTTCAGAAATACTAAAAATCAAATTAGCAAGCAAGACAACACAGATTTGGGACTTGAAGGTCTAGGGCCCAACTGTACAGTTTCTATAGTTTTTCTGTTTTATCTAAATCACTATTTTAGAAAATAGGGCCTCTTCAGGGGAATTGTGTTTCATCTTTCAGCAATGTGGAATGGCAGCAAGATGCATGCCAAACAGTGCTTGTAACCATCTGCTGGCATGTCCAACTTTTGGCACACCCATTTCATGCAGATGAGCTGAGTAAAAGTTGTTCAACAAGTAATGTGTTGAAACATTGACATGCTTTTTTTCCCTCTTCCTGCTTGATGTCAGTCATTCACAGCTGTGTTAGTTTTGATGAATATTTCTTTCAAAAGCATTTAAATCTTTATTGGCAACTGAAAGAGAGATTTTCAAGAGGGAGTAGAGAATTTATAAAAATGAGATACCCCGTGATACATTTTCAGAGGAACTGTTTCTAAATGGGAGCCATTTAACTAGGGGAATCATGCTTTGAAGCCGCTGAAGTTTTGCCTCTCCCCCTCCAACAGTTGCATCAGGATAATAGGAAAGTAAATAATATCTGCAATAAAAAAAATATCCGCAGGATGAAACAGGAAGGGGCAGAGATAAGTTTTCAGAATAAATGGCTTCCCTCTCATTTGTACCCTGCATGTGTTCCTCATTTTTAAATATTGTGCAGTGCGTTTAATAGCACATGCCTGGGAGGGAATATTATATATGGCTTTCGTTTAAGCAGTCTCCACCTGACTGGATAGATAAATCTCCCACACGATAACCTGAAGATATAGAGCAAGGAATATTACACTTTATAGATTAATAGTAATTTATGTGGATTGGCGTTTGCTCATATGGAACCTTGTTGTAAGATGAGGACCCAAGATTGTCTTTTCTTTAGGAATTTCATTTTAGAGTTGAGACTGATTAAAACTACCCTCAAATGCTGCCAGATTTGGATGCTTCTGTTCAGTGGCAGCAGACTGACCAAAATCCGGGCACCTTTTGAAACTGTGACTTAATTTGTGCAAAGAAGCCCCCGTGATCCTAATTTGTGATTCCATTGAACTAAGGATAACTCAGCAGTGAGAAACGAGTGGGTTAACCCACTGTCCTCATGCTACCACTTAGTCACTGCTTTTTTATTTGGTAGCTTTTTACTTGGACATGTCAGCAATGCTGTCTTGTGACCTCAATAAGAAAGTGGATCCTAGTAATTGAGGGGGAAAAGAACAGGGCTGCACAGGGAAAAAGTGGAGTCTTATATCCCTTTATTTCAAATCAATCTTTGATCTGAGGAAATGTGTGGTGAATATATTCAACAAGTTGTCATAGCGCAGTCACCTGTTTGCAAAAGAGAACTGACTGAATATTTGTAAACTGCTTTAGAATCTTCTATTTGTTCCACACTGTGGCGAAGGACAAAATTTTGCCAAAGAGAAAATTCAGTTTTGATTGTTTTCATCAGCAGATCATGACGTGAGCATTATTTACTACCAGAGTTACTACCAACGTTCCCCTGAAGA